AATGAAGAGATCTATGTCTAGATGAAGAGGGCAGGAGACTGAGACATTTAGCAGTTTCTAAGGATATGCTAATTACTGATAGGGTAAAGCAGCAAAAAGGCAAAGTTCAGTCTGTCACAGACCGAACACTGAGAAGGTGTGAACAATGATAAATGATTTCTTCCCTAGTAAAAGAAAATTCTGCTAGTAATCAAATCAATGGATGTTTCTTTCTACATGCTGCGCAATCGAGTGATGCAGTACAAAACAGATCCAAATTCCCTGCAAGTCCTGATGAGCAAGTAGAAACTCCTGGGACTTCCCTCTCCTGCATCTGCTCATATGGCAGTGTGGTATTTGAGGGAGCCCTAGAGAAGAATCAAGGAGTAAGAAACCGTGAGACCCCACGCACTGCACGTTCCACACTAGCTTCATGGCAGTACAACATGAGGTCATTCAGATCTCAAACAAATCTGTGAAAGCTGAACAAATGGTAGAGTGGGAAGCGTATTTCAATCTCCAAGAACCAAAAGTATATATAAACAGGAAAACTATGGAAAATTACAACTTCTGATGAATTTTATTAAACAAGACTCCAGTACTGTAATTATGATTAACATGCACCAGAGCTGTGTCCTTTTATCCTTCAACAGCTTCTTGGGAAGTTAGGAAGAGATGAGCCACTATTACACTTGCCAGGTAACTCTGAGACTAAACAGCTGAAAAGATAACTGCATAGGGGCAGCCAGGAGCTCAGCCATGGTATCTACTCAGCTCACTGTAAGGATGTGGCGACCAAGACAGAGCTCCCAAAAAAACATGTGGCTATCCAAGCTTCAGGCTGTAGGGAGTGCCTAAGTCTTTCATTGGATTGTAGCAGACATAGCAGTTGCTACTGGGATCATTCAAACCGGAGGAGGCTTTGGGTGATGTAATTGCAGCCTTCCAGTACCTAAAGCAGGCCTACAAGAAAGATGGGAGAGAGAGTTTTTACAAGGGCCTGTTTTAATAGGACAAGAAGGAATGGCTTCAAACTGAAAGAAGGTAGGTTTAGATTGGATATTAGGGTGGTGAGGCACTGGAACAGGTTGCCCAGAGAAGTTGTGGATGACCCATCCCTGGAGGTGTTCAAGCCCAGGTTGGATGGGGCTTTGAGCAATCTAGTCTAGTGGAAGGTGTCGCTGCCCATGGCAGGGACTAGAACAAGATGATCTTTAAGGTCCCTTCCAACCCAAACTATTCTATGATACTCTGTAGCTATAATCACAAACTATAGCACCATATAAATGGCTGTTTACACTACCCTCAACCATGTGAGCTTAATTCTTTCCAGGACCGAAGCATAAGAACATTCAGATGTAGTTGTAGTTGAGAAAAATTCTGGAGGAGTTTGTCAGACACTTCTGGCTTCCATTAGTGCTTAAAGGAATCTAAACTGGCAGCAGTCTTACCCAACTTTAGCTTAGCAGAGTTTGGGTAAGAACTCTTTACATGAGACGCACTTCTGTTCCTTAGGAGAACAAAAGGTAGCACGAGCCAACCAAACAGGCTGGTGGACAAAGGCTCCGTGGAGAGCTGCTACCTTAAGGCAAGGAAACTGCGAACCTTATGGGGGAAAAGGAAATAAAAAGTCAGTCTACATTATTTTAATATTATTTAATCCTGAACACTTGTCTCTAAACCACAGTCTGTTTTCAAGAATGCTCTTAGCAAGTTATGAGATCACTCAGTGAATATTAGCCAGACTTAATTCAATGATGTGTCATGACCCTTCTTCACAGAAATACAGTCCTGCTCCCTGTGATTGCCATGGGATCAGGTACAGAGCACTCAGACAATGGGAGGGAAATGATTACAGAAATCGGATTCACAAGAACATAAACCTGCTTCCCATTTACTGTTTGGGAAAAGGCTTCTGGGCCCTTGTATACCAGGAACACAGCAGGTTGCAAGTTCTCTCCTTGAGCCTTTTCATTAAAAAAAATAAAATTAATTGCATTTCATGCTTTGTTTTGCTTGAAACCAGGTGTTATCTTTCACTCAAATTCTAGGACAGATATTAAAAAAGGAAATACAGTAGCTTGGTGGACCATCAGAGGCTTTAAGTTCTTCACATCATCTGGGTATAATCAGCTCATCTTTATGTATCTGTGATTTGCCATCAGCTTTTCAGAATAATTTCAGCCATTACAGTTTATTACCTACACATTGATTCATTGCTGAGAATACTATTCCTGACAAATATTCCAATATTCTTGAATTATAATCAGTCTGGGGAAGACTGCAGTTAGGGCAACTTAAAAAACATGCCAGATATTTTCATATACATGTGATTTATGAGTACAAATGACTGAAAATCAAAGTGAGTTTTATTCCCACAGGAAAGGAATTTCTCTCATATATAGTATCACTGTGATAGTATAATTGCAATGTTAATTCTCAAACTGCTTTAGTTCTGAACCTCAAGAATAAATATCCTGAGACACAAATCAGGATTAGGTCACATGGGGAGTTGAACAAGGAGGCTGAATGAGGATTCAAGCATTCAGCAAATGCACCCAAGATCACCTGATCTAGTGTTGGTACTAATCCCACTTCAAACAGGAGGGTGGACCAGGTTTAGCCTGACAGAGATCCTACAGAGAGCCCTCCCAAGCACCATTCCTATTATTCTATCAATTCTAACATGTTTTAACAGTTAAAACAGCCCTAGGATTATAAAGACTAACATTAAATATTGTATTGGAAAAGCATGAACCCTCTCTAAGGCAGACCAAAACGGAAAACTTAAAACAACCTCACTCTTACATAATCATAACAAACTAGAGGGACAAAAAAATCAAATGAAGCCATGCAGCATCTCAATATTAAGGAAAGGACAAAAGAATTCAATCACAATTAAACTGCTTTATTAGTATCAACTCATCTTTAATCAGTACTTCAATTCCATTTTAATTCCAGCAATGATTACAACAAAATGAAGATATGCTTTTAGTGCAGAAAAGTTTAATTAACTGATCTTGGACACGCTGCAGCCAGCAAGTCTGGACAAAGAGAACTGAGAAGGCTGTAACGCACATCAGCTTGTAGGAAACAGTGACACAGCATGTATTGCCATCACTGGGATCCCAACACTGGGATCCCATCTTAAAAACAGGAAAGCAACTGGCCAAGCAGTTCATGCAGGAAGAAATAAAAAGCAACATGTGCTAAGGAAATTAATGAACTGGATTGTTAACCCAGTAGATCTTAATGAATTGCAACTGTGCCTGGCAAGGCAGACTGTAAATTTAAAGTTAAGGAGAAAGTTCCTTAGACAAATCTTGGAACAAATTTCAGTTGGATTTAGTATTGAACTTACAATCCCAGACGTACCTACGGCTCCCAGTCCAAGCCTCATCTGCTTCATGCATTCATCTGTCAAAACTGTCTGCTAATGTAAGAAAGGATACTGGTGTAAAATTGGAAGTTAAATGTAGAAATTAACTAACTATAAATTCTGAATAGAATTTTAGACTTCATCATTTAGAGACTAGTGCTGTTAAAAAAAAAAAGTTTCTGCAATTATCTTGTGCATTATGACTTCCTGGGGAATACAGTTTATCTGACTTTTTTCTGAATCATACTGTAATACCTATGCTTAGGAAAACACTAACCAGTAACCTGCTTTCTCACTCAGTCTGTCCACTGGCTCCGCTTTCCACTGATTCATGAGACCCTTTAACAAGTGAATTAAAAAAATCATAACATGCTCGGGCACACAGAACACCACCTAGATAAAATCTGCAGTATTTAAATCTCTGGGAAGCAAAATAACAAGGATTAAACAGACTAACCACACAACACACAGAAAGGACAACTGGCAAGACTTAACAGATCTGCCACATAGGACACGGAAACAAGATTTAACAGATCTGTGCTTAGGATATGGGAACAAACATGTTTAAGAAGCCAGTTACTGCACCAGCAATCCTCAGTCCAAGCTTCCCTGAGATTACTAGAGGGGTTTGCATGCAACCAGTTTAAGGTGACCTTCATTTCCTGCTTCATGGTACCACACTTGTATGGTTGTATGGTACGTAAAAAAAATTTCCACTGGTTTAGCTAAATTTAGACACATCCTTCAGATCAGTTAAGCTGGTGCAACACTTGTATTGCCTTAGAGCAGAACTTTTCCTGCAGTAGTTTCAATGTGTTAAACAAATAAACATTCAGTTGCTTTCCAATTTTGTGATCCATGACTTCTCCACAACATCTCCAAAATTTATTAGGAGGAAGATCAACGCATTACAGGAAGATCAAGCTTCACAGATTGCATCTCCATACAAACAGTTCTCTTCCATTGCTAGAAGCTATTATTGTCATAACTAGGCATGTTTCCAAACACAGCCCCTTCTCTCCAGTGAAACCAGCTCAGGTTTTACATCTCCATTTTGTGCCAAGAAAAGTGACCGACCAGAGAGAAATACTTCATAGATCAGATTCAGCCTAAGATTACTGAATGAACTGTACTTATTTTAGAAAAACTGCCATATTACCCCTGTAAGGAATATTACTTTAGCAATGCACAGAAAATCACTGACAAGGGATCTAAACACTATAATTCATTCAACACAGCAAATGAAAGACAACATACTTGAGATCTCTTTATGAAATTCATCACCATATTGAACACAAACATTAGAGCTAGATGAAACTGCACATTTTTGAACGCAATACTATTTGCTTTTCCTAGAAAGTTAAAAAAAAAAAAATTAAAAAATCAACATTTCTTCAGTTATACATTTATCCAGCCCCTACGAGGATTTAAATACAGCATCTCCATTAATTGAATCCTACTGAGAGAGGTTTGATGAAGTTTAGTGTGATGCACACGCTCCTACACCAACACCAGATTCCTTTTTAGGTTCTACTGGATTTATTTGCCCCTCTTCTTTTAGCTTCGTCTCTGTAAAGTCTTTCTTGACTTCTTCTAACAGGCCTGGCTTGAAAATGACATCCAGTGCTGTCATTGCCAGAGCTTTTGCCGTGCGCAAAGCATAGAACTGAGCAGTCTGTGACCCTGCAGAAAACAAAGAGGAATTTCAGGTTAGATTACTAATATTAAACCACTATCCTACTGCATAAGGCATAGTCTGTAAAATAAGATCTTTAAGTTTCAATGGCAAGAATAGTTTCTTAACAATCTACCTGTATGAAGTATATGCCCATTTTCTCATGCCTCAAAACAATTTTTCACATGCAAGCACTTAATTTTCTGATACTGATATAAACAACTAAGACTGAAAACAGGAAAATGAGTGTTTGCATTTTGCTTTTTAGACAATGTGGAGTTTTCTCCAGCTAGCACTGTTATGTTTCCAAAGCACTGTGCTTTAGGAGTAAAAATTTTATCTTTTGGCTCACGTTTAGAAACTCTTCTGAATATGCTGCTTGGGGAAATCCCTCTAATTTCTTGTGTTTAGATGGTATACCAAGTCAGGTTTTTCATATGAGAAGTGATCATCCTTCCCACATACATTTAACTTTAGACACAAACCCAGAAATTCTACATTTGTCAGCTTTTTCTGCAACTCTACTACTAATGTAGTTAAACAGTTTCAGGGGCCATATTCAGCTCAAATTCAATCATGCTTGACAAAAGCAACCTTGTTTCTATAATGTATTCACACATGCAGCCCATTTCATATCTAGTATTCACACTTTTAAACATTACACATACAAAGCTACATTATACACAGTACCCCTGAATACCACAGAAACACATGAAACCTTTAATTCTCTGTAATTTGAAATATTCTCTATTTCTAGGTTTGCTTTAGTGAAGAGTCAGCAAGCAGCCTCTACAATGTGTAAGGGTTCCAAATGTAAACCTTTAACCTTTTTCACTTTCACTCACCTGCAGCTTCTGTGTACTGCTCAGTATGATTCAACGCATCAGAGCCAATATAAAAATAAGGATGAAGCCCAGGGACCACAAATGTAACATTTCCAAAGTCTGTGGAACCTAGAAGGAGCATGGAGATTTTCTTCATGAACAAGTGTTGCACAGTTCTGAATGCTGTAAGAAAATGCCTGAAAGACATTACCTCCTGCTTGTTTCTAAAACAGAATATCCTTTGCCCCAAATAACAAAATAAAAGTATTTCTAATGAGTCATTATCCATAAATACTTCCCATCTCCAAGGTGCTTTCCCTAACTAGTCATCTCCAGATACTGCTCTCCAGTGTGCTTCTGATCAGTGATCAGTTCCAGACTGCCAGAAGATGTATCAGCATGTTCCCATTCCCTTTACTGTTAATTTTTTATCAAGCATCTCCCAATAGTAAACTGCTAATTATGAAAACAATGAAAGCTGCAAACCCTGGCATTTCTGGCAGTTCAGCAATTTTTCTGTTACAGCCCTTCAAATTAGGCCCAAAACTTCCCACTTCTCACCAACATGCAAACATTCAGGATTAGACAGAGGACTCTGAAGTAGAAACAATCTATCTTTAAACAAAACCAGACTGAAGACAACTGTTCTTCCCCCCATGCCCTTTGATTATTCTCAGTTATGGAAATCTTAACAGCACAAGCACTCTTGAAATAAAATCAGAACTAAACTCCAGACAAAATGCTAGTGCTTTGCAGATATAAAAAGAAAAAAAAACCTGCTTCAGATTTTAATGATGATTCTTTCATGTCTGACTAGCACTTTCAGTATGTTATCTAGTGATAGGATCTATCTCACAATACTGCCTTAACTGTTGAATGATACCATCCCAAAGTAGTAGATCCTTCATCTGTAGACAAAGAGTCTACAACTACAACTGAAGTGCCTTTTTTTTTTTTTTTACCCACACAAGCAATCCACTCATTATTTGTTAAAATGACATTTTGTGATATCCAGATATCAGAGGAAGTCGTAGCAGGGAAAAACTGGGATGATAATTAAAATCTCAATTAACTATTTTCAGGCCAGAGATGCAAGAATTTGTTTCTATAGTACAAAATGACCGTTCCAAAGACTTAAAATTATTTTTATCAGGTAGCCTCCACATTATGATACTTTGTGGAGAGAAGATATTGCTAATGCCTTAAGATTTAATAATAAAATGATTGAAGAATATAGATTTTACTTGGAAGTATACAGTTATTAAAAGTGAGTCCACAGAGCCGACATTATGAGGACAAGAGTTTGCTATTTGCCTTGCTTACAGACAACGGAAGAAGCAAGACTTGTCCAAAAACATCTTTTCCAATAAATTGATTATGCATTTGAAGAAAACCCAAGTCTTGGCACAGTAACAAGTTATTTCAATTTCCAGTAGTTTACACTACTGATTCGTTCTTTGGTCAACCTGGATAGACAAACCAGAAGTCTAAAAGTTCTGCATACTCCAGACTAAACCAAGAGTTCTAGACTTGCCTTACTAAGTCCTAATACATAAACTACTGGAAAGACTGTGCTGCCCTTTTCCCTGCTCTTAATTAATGAATGAAACATCAGAAATGTCAGTGCATCACAGTTCTCAGTCATGTAAAATTCCAGTTTACAAATTATTTTTGCTGAATAGAGGGATTTAAACTGGGTATTTTCTAGTAATAGAGAACCAAAATCCAGGCAGCTTTTAATAAAAATGTGACAGTCAAATTCTCCCCTCTAACAGAAAAAATGCCCTTTAGTGGTAATAAACTAGATGCACGTTTACAACATCAGGTGTTCCAATGGCTTCCATAAAAGCATCTGAAACTGTATGCTTGCCAGACACATACAGATCAGGATTCCTTCTACAAGTATAAATAATTGCAGTTGCAATATACAGAATTCTGCACTATCTTCAACAGAGAGGTATTGGGATCTCCAGCCACTCAAAAACGTATCCTGAAGCTAATACTGAAGCCTCTTCAAGTCACTGAATATTTACTTACTAGAAGTCAGTATTACCACAAACATGAATGGAGGGGAAAATACAAAAGATTCCAGGAAACACTTATATACAGTCCCAAGCTTCAAGAGCGGCATTTTCAAAGCATACTGGCTCCTTCTTAATATTGCCTGTATCGGTCTTGTGCACAGGGAGCCAATGAACCCCATCAATGCTAAAAACATCAAAGTTATCACAAGTGTGGGTGCCTCATCTAAGGCTTGCTCAACTAAGCCATCTTCTTTGGGAGGTTATTGGCATCCTGTAGTAAAGCTGCCCTACTGCCGGTAGGAGGAGAAACAGGCCAAGGCACCTGGTCCGAACTAACTCAGTTTCACGTTATTTATGTCACCCTGGCTGTGTGCCAAGTGAGCAGAGCGGGCACAAGGCACACACGGAGTAGTGTGATTTGATGTGCTCAAGAGACTCTTTGCAACGCTTAGCTGCCTAGAGCGATACCTGTGAGCAGACCGATACCAATACCCATGTAGAGGTGGCAGCGAGTTTGCTCATCTGTTTACGACTTTTCTGCTGCACAGACATGGAGAAGCAACTGAGCTATCTTCCTTCCCTTTCAACAGAAGAAACTGATATCCTAAAAGAAAACATTGAAAACCATATGAAAACTAAACAGAAACAGAGGTCTTGAAAAAGATGACACAAAACACTGAACACCCCCCCAAAAAAAGGGTAGCATACAAAGTTCCACTCCTATGGCATTGGAGATTGTGCTTTGTATCACTCCTGAATTCCCACTGCAAAAAAGTCAGAGGAGAAGCTGTGGAAAGAAAATTCAGTAAAACCTACTGCAGTGCAAGATAAAAACGCAATTGCTCAAGCACATTTTGACATCTGACAAGCAATTCAAGGACGGAACAGGCATATGGGAAGTTTTGGTTTATGCAAGTTAACGGTTAACACATTTAGTAAATCATGTAACTTACATATGAAAGCCCCATTACAAGTGGGTGTCTGTGCTAAGTTTACTTGAAGTCCTCTGAACAAAAGCAAGATCATCAATATTCACGATCACTCTTAATACAATGGTTTAAAGGAAGCAACTAGCAGAGCTCCAGAAAGCTGCACCACAGTAAACATTCTAAGTTTCCTCTGCTCCTTTCTTTGGCTAAACCAGCAAAGTAATAAATCTTATTTGTACTGCATCAAAGAAAAAAAAGAAATCTGCCTTTAGTTATAATTTGTTTTTAAACACAAGACAATGAACCAGTTGAAAAAAATATGTTTAATTTGGAGGAGAAGTAAGAAACAGAAAAAAACCCTCCACAATACCATGGGACATGACGTCTCTCATGTCCACAAAAAAAACGTCTGGAAAGATCTGTTCCCAAACATCAAGCTTATCCAAACTCCAAATATAATATGCATTTAATATAGAGAAGATAAATACCACAGTCAAACTAATTAGAGTAACTTTTTACCAAGAAAAGTATTTTCTTTCTAAGAGAAAAACCATTAGCATAAGTGGAGTAAAAATGTCCATACATAGAGTTACGATGAGTAGTGAAGGCTAAAAGTAAGAGCAGCAGTTAAGACTTGAACAGAGCTCCTGCTGGAACACTGTGAAAAAAAAACCTGTTAAGTATAATGAAAAATTCACCTAAGCATTCACATTCCTGTTACAGCTCTGAGACCAAGAAAGTTAAATCATTTGAGACACAGTCCAGACCCAAAAGTAAACACCTACTTGAACAGCACCCTTTGGAAAACTAATCTGTTGAACTGATGAACCAAAATTAGAGACCTGTTAATGAAAAGATTAAACTATGGTGAGATGCTTAAACTTCCATTTATAAATCCCTCAAAAAATTCCCTCTGAAATATTTGTTAGATTCTATTAGATTTGTTTACATGTAAGCTTGTAAAATAGTATTACACAAGGTTCCTAGAAACAAAGTCTCATCCCCATGCACAGGAAACGAGGATTCTGTATTTCAAAGCCACAGAATGAAACACAACTCATTACACATTCTCATGTTCTCAGTAAAACAGTTCTTAGCTCTCCAACCTTTCCCCAATCAAACTGATTACTACTGGAAATATTTTCAGAACTATTATCAGAAAACAATTAATGCTTTTCTTACCTGTTCTCAGCTTCTACAACAAATACAAAAACACAGGCCAGAGATACAAACCTTTTACAGAACTTCACTTTTGTAATTTGGCTTTTCCTCCTGACCAACCTGTGTTTAACCTAGCTCTATTTCGTTGTTTTACACACTTTAGGGTTGATCAACCTAAGCTTCAGTCATAATGAAAAACACAGATGGAGTTACCTGACAAACCATTCAAGATAGCATCTTCTGATATAAATTCTATTCCAAGTTTCTTTCCATTCTCCTTGTAAATTTGCTGGAGGCTCTTATTTGGAAGCACGTTGTAGTAATCATTTTCACCACCTTTTATTTCCACCTAGACAAAAAAACCAAATTATTTTAAGTTTTTCTCCAACATAAGCCAGTTCAATGTAAGCAATCTAAAGGCTAGAAAAAACCCCTACGTATTCATACTTCAAGTCCAAGGCAAAACAGACATAAGTGCTAAGTTCCTTTCAAAAATACAACATTCTGCCAAATATTACCCTTGATCAAAACACAGCTGGCATTCTGTTCAGCTTGCACTAGACAGTCAAATTCCAGAAGCAAGGATGTCACAATTTTCTCCAAAAATAGGAAACAAACATTTCCTGTAAGTGTCTAATGATTCCTACTGCAGACACTATTAAACTACACAGAAATCAATTTAGGCTTTTACCAAATTCTATTTTACCTTTGTTTAGCACACTTCCAATAACTACAGCCCCGTTCATGAAGTGACTTCACACAGGCGAGAAGTTGAAAACAAATGGGAAAAAAAACTATCAATGTCAAATTTCAAAAGAGATTTTAACTTTCATTCTGCGTAAAGTACACTTTCTGAAACCCTTTCCTAAATAGAGTGAGAAGGCCACAGTAGGAAAACAGCATCTAATGCCTCAAACAGACTACAACACTGACAAGCTCACATTCACATACACCATATCTATTTGTTTTGATGAGCACATACATTCTTTTCATAGCTCTATTAGTCATAAAGCTGTAACTACAGACTAGGTAGAACCACCCACCTTAGCAATACAATGCAAGGACGTCACAACCAGCTAGAGGAGACATAGCTCCATTTACTAAAAGCAAAAAAAAAGTGGGAATGCTAACTGAAAAAAATCACTCAATTTTTCCACATTTGATTGCTACGTGAGCCTGCTATTCAGTGGGGCAAAGGATCTAGTGACAAAGAAAATAGCAAAAAAGGAAAAAAAAGACAAAACACCCAATACCTGTTTTGCTTGTCCCTACCAGTAAGGTTTGCCATCAAGCCTCCCAGGTCTCTGAGCCTGGCAGCACTGTCTGTAGGATAGAAACATCACCCCCAGCAAAACAAAAAAAACTGTGGGGCACTTAAGGAAATCGTATGTACATGGGATTGGGAAGGATGCATCCAAGGATGCAGAGTAAGACAGAAGCAGAAATGCAATCTGGGACCTATCATTTTCTAAGTGTCATTGAAATATAGGAATTCTCCAGCTCACTGAAAAAGAGCTAAAGGTCACATCCACCTTGAAGGGCCAAGAGGAGGATCTTGAAAATTACATACTCGTCAGACTGTCCTATCCTCAAGTTCCCAGAGGGATTACAAACGAAATAAATCCTCCTGAGACCCACATCCAGGCTCATGAATCACAAGGGGATCATGTATACACTCATGGAAGAGCAGAGAGTGCATGACCAAGCTTAGCTTTTCATGACAACATGTCTGGCTCAGATGACACGAGATGTGCAAACTCCAAGTGTTATGATCAGTGGCACAAAAATCCACATCGCTGCCTGTTACCTTAGCAGTCATCTGCAACCAATACCGGTGCCATTACTGTTTCAATATTTCTATTATTTGATGTAGACAACTCCTGTGAGACCACATCTGGCGCTGTGTTCATTTGTGCTCCTCCAATCAAGACTGGATCTATGTGAGAGCTAGGCCAGCAGAAGGCCATCAAGATGATTAGGTGGAGAACATGACCTACAAGGACAGGCTGAAAGAACTAGATTTGCTGAGCCTTCAGAACAGCAGGTTAGTGGGACATCTTATTGCTGTCTACATTATCAAATGGGATGGTACAGAGAAGACAGAACCAGACTTCTTGGAGGTCAAAGTCATGTGCCAACAGGCAACAAAGGGAATTCCCATTAGATACAACAGAATCACAGAATGGTTGATGTTGGAAAGCACCTATGGAGGTCATCTTGCCCAATTCCCCTGCTCAATCAGAGTCATCTAGAGCTGGTTGCCCAGAACCACATCAAAGCAGAATCTGAATATCTCCAAGGATGGAAACATCACAATCTCTCCAGGTAACCTGTGCTAGTGCTTGTCACAGCATAAACATTAGGAAAACCCTTGTTCACCATGAGGTGAACCTCACTTGCTGAGAGAGGTTGCGGAACTTCAGCTTTGGAAGTACTCAAAAGTCCACATGGCACTCAGCAATCTGCTCTGAACATAGGATTAGACCAAATGACCTCTGGAGGTCTCTCCCAACCGAGATTCCTCTAGGATTCTGCAGCGTTCTATTTATAAATCAAAGCTTGCTTTCACGACACAAAGCAACGGAACAGCAAAGATTATCATAGTAATGTAGATTTACTTTGGCTAAACACCATGCAGACAAATAATGCAAGCCTCAATTTCCTATTCTAGTCTGTGTAATAGAAACACAGTTCTTACTTTGCATCCTGTGGCCAGTGCAGCAGATTTGAAGCAGTTCTCAACCTTCTCTGTCAGAACAGAAAGCTCTTTCATTGAAGGTGCACGCAGGTAAAACTCTAGTTCAGTGTAAGAAGGAATGATGTTAGGTTTCACACCACCATTTTTTATTACACCTGCAGAAAGGGAAAAGTTGTGTTATCAGTGTTAAATGCAATAACTTGACCTTCAGCCCTGTCATGAAACTCCTTGGTCGAAAGGAAAACAACGAAACATCAGCTGAGCATGAAATACAGAGAACTAAAAAAATGCAGTATGTGGACAAAGTTTCTTCATCACATCAGATTAAGTGGAGCATGTACGTGTTTTTCAGCACAATTTCACTGCATTCTTTGGTTAGACATCTGTTATAAATCTGGCAACAAGCCAAACTAGCATTTCTAATTAATCCCCTGAAATTCAGTTCATCAGAGTCCTAAACCAATCCGGCTGCCAGTAAGAAAAAAATTGCTATAAAGGCTAACTTGGATTCCAACCTCTAAACATTTCCTGAGCTAGAACGCTTCCAGCTTACTTTGTGAGCTTGGAGAAAAATTAAGTTGCATTTCTCAGCAGCTACTACAGTAATGTGTGTGTGGCAGTGCATGGAAAGTTCATTAGATGCCTCATAGTAACTCTTCTGAAATACAGGAATGTATAATATAAGTAGTTTTGTTCACAAGTACAGTCTGAGTTGAAAGGGCTCCCTCAAGGAAATGTGTGATAACTACATATTTTTTAGTTACAGCATCACAGGTATTACCATAAAAGACAATAATATTTAGATATTTCAATAATAAAACAATATAGAGCCCAATTCTACATTAGATTTTAAGGCATTAACAGCTAGGCGCTTTCAAGAGGCTGTTTCTCTGGCCTCCTACCATCAATTCATGTATGTGGAATAAGATTTGTTTTTCGCAGAACCTGAGAAACTCTCTACCTTAAGTGGAAATATTGCACAAGTTACTGATGTGTGGCACTGAGGCCTGAAGAGACAACACTACCAGGATGCAAATGGGCAACAAAACTTTACTTTTGGTGCTGAAAACCTCTTGTGAGCTCCACCTCAAGAAAAACCTTTCCAGTCTCAAATACAGACAAAATAAAAAACAAAGTGCTGAAATAATTCAGTATTTGTCTGTAACAAAAGGAACAGCTCAGATGAGAGGGACAGACGTCACAGGAAAGGAACCAGTGAGTAAGTAATCGTGCAAATTTTCATGACACATACCGTAATACGCTTTCTCAAAACAAGCAGCTTCATGAGTAAACAACTTTCATCTGTCTTGTCCAGCACATTTGTAAATGGAACTGGACAGAGTCTGAGTCTGTCTACAGTTAAATTTCAAAGCAACTGCAATACGGACTGTACAGCAGACCTAGATTAAAAGCAGGCTGCCTAAACGGTACAAGCAGCAGCCAGTTTGCCCTTCTGGAGGGAAACCTTGGGCTTTTTTACAACCTGTTTAATACAACTTTTTGAACAGGAAAAAACCCTACATTCCTGTTTTTCAAGAAGGTAACATCTACTCCACTCATAAGCAGGGAAGAAAGGTAATATCAAAATCTCAGAGGAACTCAAACCAACAGTATTTCAGTACATGAAACATCAGTTAGAAATCCTAGACTTCAAACAAGGGAAATTAGCTTTTGTTAGTGGGTTAACACTACCATTTTTAGGATCACTTAATTCAGCCACTGGTTATACTGCAAGTCTGCAACACAAGACCTGCAACACACTGTTGTAAAGAAAGTATTCCTAAAATTAAATTTCATTCTGTCTGCTTATACTTTCCCTGAAGTATTTTCAATATTTCCAATTTGAAAACCAGGTTTATGACAGCAGTTTTATCAACACAGTAATTTCAGTTTTGCTGTTGTTCAGGCAGTATTATCTGTAGGAAGCTTGTTTGGATACTTAAGTTTTTTTGCCAACATTACCATGCAGCCTTTAGGAACTATGAAGAAAACAGTATTTAGGGGTTTAGGCTTAGATTCAACAGAAGACTTAGGCACCTCCAAGCTTAAAATGGCAACACATGCATTTCAGACACCAAAACTCATAGTTATGTGCCTTGTTTCCTACAGAGCAATAGCTATGCCTACTGTCTGAAATTCTTTTGGGCATGCTGCACAGCACAACTGCAAACAGCTTCATCTAGAGCCAAAATTATTAGGACTCTACCCAGATATCCTGGAGAGAAATACACACTTGTATTACATACAGCACAAGCAACCAAGACATATAATGGTTAGCTCAGAACTTTTGGAAGGGTTTTAAGCTCATAAACAAGTACTCCAAATAAACAGCTCTACATTCAGAAGTCCTGTAGAATTGGCAAAGTTTATTAACTTCAACTTGGAAAAAGTTGTGTTGGGTGTAATAAGGAAAGCTGGGTTTATAGCTAAAGTGCAGCTTCACCTCAAATGAAACCTTTGACAATGTTGATACATTATGCTGATGGAGCCCAAGTCAAGCTCAGCGCAAAATGACCTTTCTAATCCAAAACCTACTAGATATTAAATATTAGAATCCAGTCAACATCTGGTTAATTGGGCTACTAACCAGAACTATAAGCTTGTGCCATCACTTGTTTTTTGTACTTCAGCAAATAAACTTCACTCCAGACCACTACACCTTTCCCATATATGTCATCTAATTAATGGAATACCTATTAAAAAAAGTGATGCAGTAATACTTCACTTTTCAGAAACGTTTAATCTTACACCTTTGCAAAAACACACAGATTAAGGAATTCGAGGTCGTATACCAAAATAAATTTGGCACTTTTTTCTTCCTTTCTGAACTGCAACTGCAAGTCCAAAGACTTAAAATTTGTCTTGCCTCTATCTAGGTACCCGAGTCCTCTTTTGAATCTGATCTACAAGTGTATTTTCAGCAGTTAGTTCTGAACACTGACATACCATTTAAATGAAATGGTGTTATTTCATAATATTTGAAGTGACTATACTAATTTAAGGCATTAATGCAATATTTTGAAATATGTGATATCCTAAGTTAGTACTTCAACAGCCTAAACTCTTACTTGCTGGACATTAGATTTAAAGAAGATCTCACCATGAACTCTCCAGGTTGGTTTCATTTGCTGTCTTAAAACAGACAGATTGTTGTACGCAAGAACAGCAGCATCTAATGCATTAACTCCTTCCCAAGGATAAGCAGCAGCATGAGAAGCTTTTCCATAGTATTTCACAGTCACGCTAGGAAATAAAAGGCATTGCTTATTTGTTTTTTGTTCACCGAAAAAAAACCCTAAAAGAAAAAAGTTCCTTTTGTTCACACAAATACGTTACTTAAGTTTTGTGCAGCAGAACACCAAACAATTTACCTGGCACTAGACTGTTGCGTAGTTAAACTATCTCTGAGTACAGAAAATTGCTGAAAGATTTCTAGAAAGCCAATAAAATAGAATGATGTCAAGAGCCAGTCAGGTAAGAATGCTACTGGTAACATATCACTACACAGCCTTTTCCTGAAGAGTATAGGTTCATATATTAATTAAATTTCTCCAACACTTTTTTTTTACACTGTCTGACTGTTCTGAGACTTAAAGTTACTAACATTCTTCTCAGAGAACAACAAACCCTTTTCTCCGACTCAAAATTAGAAGTTGACTGTCCTAATTCTTGTCAAACAAAATGTGTACAGTAAGGCAGCAAAAGCACGTAAGATCACACACAACCCACATCTAACTACCAAAAGTCAATTTTTACAGGTGTAGTAATGGTATAGCCTAGTATTAAATACACATTATTATGCTACAGCAAGGATGTTCTTCCCCTGCATACCTCAAAAAAAGTGGTAGAAAGGTTTGCAACAAGGAGGAAACCTAGTGCAAGGGTTATCCTCCAATTTCATAGAAGTCATTAAAAAATATACCTAAACATACCCAGTAAGAATTCATGCTTTGCTTCACCTGAGGGCCATTTTTATTAGCCTTACAAAATAATACTTTGGATTATATGAAAACTCTTTACACAAGAGAAAAATACTAAATACTGACAACTACATAAGGTCTTACTATTATAAAATATACAAATATTTTTTTGCCAAGAGTAGAGATTTTAACTACATCTGTTTGTACTCCATACCCATTCCTTTACACCAAAAAATCCATCTTGAAGCTCAAAGACTCCCCTCCACCCCGGCACGCACAACCTGCCTCTTACCCAGCCATGGTAACTTGCTTGTCCCTCTGTGTTGCACAAATGCCAACTTAACCAGTTATCCTCAACTGACCCCCCATGCTCAAAACCACGACACAGCTGTAAGTTAATATCAGTACTTAAATACTTGATAGCAAAGAGGGGCACAATGGAGTGCACTGTTGCAGCAGGAAATATCTACTACTACTGAAGCAACCCAAACGAAGTACGCCCTTTTCCATCCTCCTTCATCCTCAAAGACAACCACAGATCCCTTTCTCTAGAGCACGAGTTTTATTTAAAATTTATTATCGCTAAGAAATCAATATAAAAAAACTTATCCGTTAATATCACAACTATTAGACTGCAACTCCTCAAAACAACCCACAAAGATCCCTCGACATTCTCCAAAAAATGGGAAGAACACGAAATACAGCAGAATGCCATGTTGCAATATTTTTTTTCCACAAGAAACATGTGTTTCTTATTAAAAAAAAGTTCTTTCAGCATTCCTTTATTTGTACTTCTATTGCTACATTAATGTCACAGAGTCTCAGAGAAACCCAAGAGATTTTGCAGAATAACAACACCCTAAGCCAGTTTAAGAATACCAGCAGAAGAATGTGGATCCTGTTTGACCAACAATAAATAGGCTGATTAAGTGAAGGATAAATGAATAAGAATCAGCAAACTTTGGAATGTGTTCACCAGTTATCCCACTATGCTAATCTTACTTTGGGCACAAACCAGCTTTCACAGTTGCAGATACAGTTATACTAGCAATTTAGTGATCACCAGTCCTTAAACTCCTTGGGAACAACCAAAGACAAATATGAACTGGCAAAACTGTCTTTGTACCTTTGGAATCTCATCATTACATAAAACATGACACAAACTGAGTATTTCAAGGTTTTGAAGATAGTAAGTTGTTTCACTCAGAACTTCAATTTCGTGCCTCCTCCACGGTTTAAAGGCTATCTGGGACTTCCATCCTACAGCAGATCATCACCTCTGAAGAGAGGCTTCCAAATCTTACTGTATGAAACTCAAAAGGCTATTGCAAGCAGAAAAGCGAAACTATCAACGAAAACTGAATCTTGAACATTATAAATATAATCTTAAGGTACAGCAACCAAAAGGCAAGCTGGGCTAAGTCTTGAAAGAGATTGCAATAACCAGTAAAGACTCTTTAGAAACACAATAAAGGAATATAGCAGAGGCTATGGCTAATAAAACCTAGGTGTTGCTAACCTTGTCTTTTTTACCATAAAATCTGGCAGTAACAGAAGCAAGTTATCCACTGGGAAGAACCCTGACAAAAGCAAAATGCCCAAGAACATTGCAGCTGGATGGTAGCACAACCAAGCTGAAAACAGTTCTCAGTACATCAAGTCAGAAATTACTAGAAAAACAGTTATTTAAATGTTACAGAATGTGGTCAGAGACTGGAAAAGTAGTACTTGAAAAACCTGTTGCATTGGAGGGAGGTTAACAGTGGGGTCTCTGCAAGGAAAGATCCTAGGATCAAGAATCATTAGTAACAGTGACATAAAACGTAGTAACAAAACCTGCTGATACACTATTGCTGGGACACCATGGAAAAAAAAGTTTATAAGAGCAAAAGAAGAAGAGCATGGCCTTACAGCTGGTAGAGCACAAAAAGAATGAAGCTCAAAAGTATTTTTTAAAAAAATCACGTATTTAAAGACTAAGCGTTTGTGTAAGAGTTGATTGCTTGAAAACGACTGAGCAGGAAATCCCAAACATGCCGGCTATCTCCAAAAATACAAGGAAACACTATGGTGCCTGCATCAGCTGAGTAAGGTCTAAGGAAACTGCACCTCATGTACTGTGTACAATTCTGGGTATACACAGTCAGCAACGTGTACTTCAACACAAGACAAGTGACTCCAAGTACAAACGAGCAAGTGCTGTCACTAAAAAGAAGACAAGACATAATTTCCAAAGAGTTATATGGTTAGCTGGCAAAGAAAAGCAGCTATGTGAGGGTAGGACTGCTGTCTAGATAGATACTGAGGGCCAGGAAAGCCAAAAACTACTGTGGATCAAAAAAAAAGTTGACATGAGAGTTAGTACACACAACATGGCCATGACTAAATTTAGGGTGGAAGTTAATATGGATCCAAACTGCAGTCAAGCTTAGCTGGTCAGATCTTTTCAAAAGCAGGAGAGCAAACCTGAAACACTTTCCAAAATGATTAAAATGCACAGAGGATTACATGACCTGCCACTAGGAAAGCATGGAACTATGATTCTTGTCACCCTCCAGTTGCACCTTCAAATTCTATTTTTATTTTAACTGATGGGATAATCACATGGATGTTTAAAAGGAAACACTTAGAAACACCAGAACACAGAATCGGTTTTTGGGACACATGCAAGATTACCTCAGAGCAGTCAGGGGTTTTAGCACCATGCTGAACACTGCACTTTAGAAGAACGGCTCAGAGTGCCACTCAGTACCAGAGACCTGGCTCCTTAGCTGACTGCAAATACTCTGTCTGAAGGGCATCCGCAAGGTCCCCATGTTCAGACACTGCCAAAGCAGGTGTTCTACTGAGGGAGGGCACGAAGGGCTAATAACAAACCACCTCTTTCCACCTGACCCCCCTCACTCACTCGTGCTCAGCCACATCGGGCAGGTAAGCCGCGTTTTCCTGCGAGGGGTGCGCCATGAAAACCACATCCAGGCCATCGAACGCTCCAGCCTTTATCAAGTCGATTTTGCCTCCTCCCTGCTCCTCCGCGGGCGTCCCCAGCACCGTGACCTGCAGCACAGACGCACAGAGAGGGGGTCAGGGGCGGCCAGAGGGGGGACTCCGCCGCCTCCCTGGGGAGGGCTCCCACCTGCACGGGCGCGGGCTCCGCCAGGCTCTCCAGGGCGGCCTTCAGCGCCAGCGCGGCGCCGGCTCCCACCTCGGCGATGAGGTTGTGTCCGCAGGCGTGCCCGAGCCCGGGCAGCGCGTCGTACTCGCACAGGAAGGCGATGCGGAGCGGGTCCCGCGGGCCGGCCGCGCCCCAGTCGGCGCGGAACGCCGTGCCCAGCTTGTAGCGCGGCTGCACGGCCCAGGCGGCGCCGGGCAGGTCCCCGCCGCAGAAGAAGCGGGTCAGGGTGTCGTGCGCCTGGTGCTCCGCGTACGCCAGCTCGGGCCGGCTCCAGATGTCGCGGCTCAGCGCGCCCAGCCGCGCCGCGTTCAGATCCACGCTCTCGCACGCCCGCTGCTTCAGCGCCTCCAGCGCGGCGGGGCCGCCCCGCGGCGGCTCCTGCGGCTCCATGAGCACCTGCCGCGGCACCGCAGCCGGACCCGCACCCGCCCGACCCTGCCGCCTTTTATCGCCTCCGTCGCGCCGCGGGGCATGCTGGGAAGTGTAGTCCGTCACCCCGTGCCGGCCCGCAGGCTGCGCCCAGCCAGAACTCGCCGCCCCAGCGTGCCTAGCGCGGCGCCCGCGGAGTTTGGGGGCCCGCCCGTATCCCGAGGCGGGCGGTGCTCGGTGCTGGATCCCGCCGTGTCCTCTGGTTTAGGTCCCGGTGGGTTCTGGTTTAACCCCAGCACAGCCCCTCGCTCACTCCCCCACCAGCAGGACCGGGACGGAATCGGAAGGTTAAACGTAGAAAACTCGTGGGTTGGGATAAAGACAGTTTACTCGGAAAAGCAAAAGCTATGCATACAGGCAAAGCGAAATAAGGGATGAATTCACTGCTTCCCACGGGCAGGCAGGTGTTCAGCCATCGCCATGAGAGCAGGGCCCATCGCATGTAACACGGACTTGGGAAGACAAACATCATCACTGCAAATGTTACCCTGCTTTATATACTGAGCATGATGTCCTATGGTCTGGAATATCCCTTTTGCCAGTTCGGGTCACCTGTCCCGGCTGTGTCTCCTCCCAGCTTCCCATTCACCCCCCAGTCCCGTCGGTAGTGTGTTGTGTGACATGACATTTGTTTAAAATCCTGTGTGCACATAGCGCTAACAGTGGTTTTTCAGAAGCTGGAATGGGTGTGAAGTGCTCACTGGGAGATTTTAGATACAAACCATATAGCAGGGACCGTGCCTACTGAACCAACCCATACCTGACAAAAGTTGAAGTCAACAGAAACAAAATGACAAATTTCTGGTGGTATTCATTTAATTACCAGAAATTCCCTTTTTGTTCATTTTAGACATGATTTATCCACTGTACCCTTTCCCCACAACTTTTCTGTCACCTGTAGAGGTGCTTTGGTGTGCTGAACTGCAAGTTTCCCCTCTCCAAAGAAGATGAGCAAGGTCCTTTTCCTATTGATTACCCAAACCCTACAGGACTCTCTTTTGCCCCTGCTTCCCCACCCATCACCTCCTTCCACTAATGCCCTCCCAGTCTGTCTTTGCCTTTTCCTTGGGTGCTTGTAACAGCCCCACTTACCACATCTAGCCAGTTCTAGTCTTCACTACTCAGCATCATCCCAAAAAGTACTACTTTGCCCCACCAGGCTCCAAACCAGTGTTCACAGTCCCATTCTCCTCACCTAATTGATCCTAATTCTCCTGTCCTGTTCCTCTTCATAGCTGTATTCTCTGCCTCCACTAGGCACCAGTCTGTTTCTCACAACTTTCTGTCTTTGCAATCCCAGTTTGTTGCCCAGCCAGCACAGTTCACCTCTCCACTTGTTTCCTGCCCCAGTCTCCCTAAAGCTTATTTTCTTTTCCTCCTTGCTCCTACCTCTCCTGTACTTTTTGTGCAGTCTCTCCTCCACCTGGTTCTGAGAATGCCCCGTATGATGCAGCCTGTGATTACAGAATTTAAAACCGAGGGGCTTTTTGGCTGAGTTATTTTCTGCCGGATCACTGAAATGGGGGTCAGGTGAGAGCAGTCAGCACAGAGTGCTGCAGAGGACATTCCAGAGCATGGCCAGGGTGCAGGGAAACAAAGGGCAAAGCCCTTGTTCTAGTCTAACGACTGGCTTAGGCTGTGTTGGCACTACAACTGAGGATGTCAAGCCACAGCTAATAGGAATGGCAAGGCTTGGCCACAGAGCAAATTGCACTGTGGCAGCTGCCCCCAAACAACCCAGCTGCTTGTTTGGAAGGCTGAAGAAGGAGCGTGGAGTGCACAGGAATGTCAGCATCTGAAAGTGGGACAAACTTAGCTCTGGCTCATCCAGGAAAATTTACCACTCACGGGGAGCAGCTAAATTACTTTTAGGGATTATGTTATCTACTCACAGCTTGCTGTTTTCTTTTCCAACTGAGACTTCTCAGATAATGAGAGGGTTGATTTACTTATGTGACCACTTAAGATATCCTTGGAATCCTCTTTGTCTGCCATGAGGATTTATGAAACATGCAGCAGTAAGATACCCAATAATTTTATAAATTTAAGCATTACAGAGTTTATGCCAGCCTAAGAGTTTCAACTTGCATGTTTGAAAACTGGTAATATGTAACATAATTAGCACTAACATCAGTTAACATAATAATGGGTATGTTGTTTTTCATTTTCCAATTCACAGTCCCAGATAATTTGCACACTCTGTGCACAACCTGTAAGTGTGGTTCCTTTAGAGGGTCTTGCTTACTGGGAGAACCTCCTTCCATACTTCCTGGCATGTGCTCCTGCTGTTGCTTCTCTTGTGGAGGGTCTGGCAACCGTGTTGTCTTCAGTGAGCTACTTCAGTCAGTAAAGTCATCTTAGAAAAGAAAAATGGTTATTTTTCAGTGGAATATGGTTTCACAAGACACACAGTAGGTCCCTGCTTCCAAAAGTTCCCAGTTCCACCATGATTTTCCCTCTCCCAGCCAAAAAATTTATCCTACTTGCTATTCACCCTTTGGTATTTATTGGACCTTTACCGGAGCTTATGCAATTCATTAAAGTGGCACAAAAATAGCTTATCCAAAAAGTTGGGTCAGGTCCCACTGTTTTAGTGAGTTAAATTGGGCAAAGGTTCCATGAAGAGCCAGGGCAAGGAGGGTGTTGTGAGACTGGGTGTGTGGAAGCAGTGAGCAAACAAACATTTACAGCTGCTGCAGGTATTAGAGCAGAGTGGGGGTCTTACTGTGAGCAAAGCAAGGGAACATATTCACATAAGTTGAAGACTAAGCAAGGCTGCAAGAATTTTTTTCTTTGTCACAATAAAAGCAGTGCTGTGACTCCTGAAATCAGACCAATTCAGGAAAGGCAAAGGAAAAGGTGTGAGGTATTTTTGTTTATAAGTACCAGATGCATGCTAAATGAGGCTTCCATTCCTTTAATAAAGAGCCCTTGCCTTTCTAATCTTGTTCCTATCCTGTCTCCTCCTCAGTATGTACTGTTTGTATGGAAGAACAGACTGGATATTTACCCCAGAGATGGGATGGTATGTATTAAATTAACAATAATTTTCTTGCTCCTTAAGCTTCAGTTCTCAGTTATTACACTATCATGTTTTTTCTCTTACTTTAGGAGAAGGCACCAGTCTTTCAACCTTTTATGCCCTTTTGAAAATTCATTGCATGTCATCAGGAGTAAGAAAACATTTATATGCAGTACGTTCATTTTCTATGGGTTGTGCCTGGGTCATGAAAAAATGCATGTTTTAAAAACTAGGTCAAAAATACTATGCTGATATTTTGATTGTGCTAAACAAATTATAATGCAGTTATAAGACTGCTTAAAATGCTGTTACTAGATAGAGGAAATACAATCCAGGCAACATTGTGATTCTTTGGGAAAAGCAAGAATTGTCCATATATTTATTCGTAAATAAACAGGAACAAACCTCACAGCTGCTAATTCAATTCATATTCCTGGAATCAAGCTATAAACAAATGCTTTTATTTTTGTTTTAGAGGGTGGATGAGGCTTGCTAGCTTTCCATTGGTCTAAGAGAAGGAACATCTGTTGTGGCCATAAAAAACTCAATGATCAAGTTTACCACATCCCACATTAGCAACATTAGGCATTGAAGCTGAAATCCAGATCAGACTGAACTCAGTGAAAGTTTTGCTGTTAAATTCCGGGTGGCCTGGATTTCAAGCCAAAATCCAAAGCTTTAAAAACAATAGCACAGTGAGTATCAAAAACAAAAGTAGTCTGTTGCTGTGTGTAGGAGCTATACGCTGGCTTGCCTAAAATAACATTCCAACCTGGTTTACAAACAGTTTTATATCAGGAAGTATGTGTCAAGACATACAATGCTACAAAAGCAAATTCTGTGTTTAAAAAGAAAGCATGATAAGGGCTTCTTTGGTCAGATCACAGTATCAATGTTAACATAGAGCAGAAAAATTTTGAAGAGCTAAGGAAGAAAAAAGGCTGAAGTTGCTGAAGCATACTGCCTTTTTTAACTGGATTAAGGATGCCACTATATGTCTTATACATTTCTTATTAAGGGAAAAGAAATACAGGATATGTGTGTTCAAAAAAGTGAAGCCTTCTCCCCATAGACAAATCATAGACAAATCATTCCCGTCACTTAAGAGTTAATTATGCTATGGGCAAAATTCAGAGCAGACTGAGACAGAAAACATGAGCTTAATGTTCCCTTCAGATTTGGTTACATCATGTACAATACTTGGAAATAAATCTGAAATTCCTCACACAGCATGTTTTATTAGCTATGTGGTTAAGGCCTCACCATTTGCCCTAATGCTGTGAACCTGTACCAAAGAAGAGAAGGTAAAAGTCAGCAGAGATTCTCAGTGAGAAGGCAGCTGTGGCTCTTTGAGATGCTACTGGCCCTAGCTCTTTATGCCTGCCAAAAATGCTGGCCCCAGCTCTGGTGGCAGAATTAGACACAATTGCCTCTGAGCTGTTTCAGGGCAAAGTCCAAAAGCTTAACTCAAGCTGTCCCCACCCCCTCTTTGCATTTTATGCTTTAGACACTGGGGTTTATCCTGAAGCAGCTTAGTTATCTGTGTTCTCAGTCTGCTGACTCCACTATGTGGGTGGTATCCTCTGGGAGACAGGCAATAATATTTTAAACCGACACAGTTATTTTCAAAACAATCACTTTGATGCACCATTAGCCACAGAGGCTGGTATAAGCTTTGCTAGCTTTAGACTGGTTTAACAAACAGTGCTTTTCTATCTGATCCATATTTTCATTTGCACTCTGAACGCTGCAAAAATACAGCAAGGGGTTAGTTGTATTCTGTATTTTTGCTATTTTTTAAAACTTTTTTTTCCATCTGGGGTGAGATTTTTTAACAAGAAACATCATTTAAATCCAAGAAAAGTTCAAAAATCGGCTGACTTAAACACCGCCAATTAGAGCAGCTAGCTGTGCAAAAGACAGGGCTAGATAAACTTACATTTCTTTCTTTGGTTTGGCTCTATGAAGAGTTACATAAAACTTACTAGCTGTTATGGGGCTCCTTGAGGTTTGCACAGCAGAGTGTAAACAGAGCATTAAATTTCTGGTGTTACTGATATCCAAGACTCTTAAAACACAAAACTTACTGACAACTTGCTCTCTCTTTCCCACTCAAATTTTACTTTTGTAACAGTAAGAAAAGTGTCAGAGATCTTAGCTAAAAATGTCTTGAACCCCTCTCACTCCTCCAATAAAAATTCCTGCCTCAACTATGCTCTTTTATGTCCTACACAGTTACACTTACGTATGTATTTGAATCACTTTGTCACTGGTGTTAACTTCACCCCCACTACCAGTAAAAGACAGTTAATCCACCTCTGTATAGATAAGGCCAAGTGTTTGCCCTGGTAAAATCCTTTAGAGCTGAAGAGAATGTAAAAACTTGTTCCACAAATCTCCACACATTTAATTGCTCCTCTCAGCTCCCAATTTAAAAATGGTCGATAATGTTTTTTGTATTCATGACAATGCAAATGTAAGTGAAAAGCAAAATCTAGACTGGGCTAAACTTTGCAAAGCTTTCCTGATGTTAAAATATTCCTTTACTCGCACGTATATGCCACTAGTAATTTACAATGACATCCTATGCTGTTAGAAACAATTTTATTTTGCTATTGATTCAAACAGAACCACCGTCGCACCCCAGCTCTTTTATTTCCTCGAATGAAGAAAGTATTTTGCAGGTCTTAAAGTTCTTTATTTTTAATACATTGTGTCCTTGAAGTATAACAGCTGTTGGTTCACAGACAGTATCTATTTCTGGGTTAAACAGACAGAAGATGACCACTCAAACAATTCAATATCCAGTTTTCTATTTTTAAATTTCAATTTAAATATAGATGGAAATTTTCATCTATAAAAAAATATGTGAAAGCCTCTAGTTTGTTTCATATGAATATACTATTTTGCAGATAGCAAAATTATGATATATTTGCAATCCACAGGGATCTTAAACGGATTACTTCTGTTAGGAATCACAAATTACTATTAAGTACTTTGTTGTGGATTGAGTGGCATTGAGGAGCTATTGAGACAGAAAACCAGCAGCCTACTGTGTCTAATTGCAAACCTCTTTACCCTCAAAGTTTTTTGTTCTTATTTTTTCAAAATCTGAAGTATGATACATTGCATAATCATAAATACACTTGTATTAAGTGTTGACATTTTTCATAATACCTTGGGAAATTACATTAAAAAGAGTAATTATTTTTGCTCTTCATTTGTACCAGTTATGCAAATATGACCACAACATGCCTTATGGGCATTCATTAATAATGATTATTTGATTAAAATATTAATTTCAAAATAATACTTTAAAACTATACTTTATTCACAGTGGGAATACACAAAGCAACAACACAGTGGCAATAGCACTCACCATATATACTGGGCGATATATAATCCTGGGTTTACTGTGAAATTAAGCAAGGATGGTTTTGTATTCTTAAAATTCGAGGAAACCAGGACATGCAGTATAGGCAGAGACCTGGGAACAAGTACTGGCAATTGCAAACTGTGAAGGTCAAACTGTATTGCTGAACAAGCAAGTCCAATCAATTTTGGTTTCCACTAATGGTTAAAACGATTTTAAGGTGAAGTCATACATTGCCCAATGCCATCTGGCAAACTTAAGTGATGAGTTCTAGTTGTTTCTAGCCCAAGAGAGCTTGATCTTCAGTTACTCCAGACTGTTTGTTGTTCTCTAGAGGTAAGCATTTTGTTTTTAAGCACATATTAGAGATTCTGCATTGCAGTTTGTTTGGGTACTTTATTACTTACCTTATAATACTTTGTTATAAACCTCAGATCTGGTCTGTGCATTTGCACTTTATAGAGATCTGACTCTGATTCTACTATCCCAAATCTTTTCATGAAACAGGAGACAGAGGTGGCTCAGTGTTATCATGTAGAAGGTGGGTATGCCTCAAAAAGCATCCTGTTATCTAGTAGCAGGGTGGCCAGGACTAGTTCTTTTAATTAGAAGTTCATCTTCTATATTCTAATGCACAATGTTCATGCACCAACAGATGTCTGTGTGCCCTGTACTGTGTTTTGTGTATGTTTTATATCATATGGGTGTGAGCTCACCTTTCTTTACCAATGCTGCTTACTGTACTACATACTAAAGGCACTTGTTAGGACTTGTGTGCGATGCCAGTGATGCATCCCCTATTCGCCCACATGGCAATGTGCCGTTCTTGAATGTCATTACTTAAAATCAAGACCACTAGTTTTGAAAAAAAAAAAAATCATCCTTGCAGTATGTGGATTAATTCATAATGAACAGGCACATGGCAGAATGCTGAAGGTGCTGTGCAAGTAAGGCAGAGACAACCGTGGATGTGAAATGCTCTTCATTTCACGTGCTCACCTTTAGAAAACAAGAGAAGCAGATTTAATGGCAGCCTGACAAGACCTACTATATACCTCTCTAGGACTGCTTCCCTAGGTTTCAACAAGGCTGCTGAAGAGTAGAAAGCAGGTGGACATGAGCACTTCTGTTGAAAGCAGTATTGTCCAGGATTCACCATCAGCAAAATATCAGACCCTTTTTGTTGTATTCCCTCCCCTCTCAGTCATACTTATCTCTAGTGTATTACCTCAAGACCTGTGCTCAGTTGCATTAGGGGATTGAATGAGCTCTTGTGGTTAGTAGTCTCAGTACATACAACAGCGAGGTAGAGCAACAGGGTAGTAAAAATACATGTTAAACTGTGGGATACCATAGGGAATCTGGAAACTTCTGTGGGTTTTAAGTGTCAACAGATGGCACAGCATGACCTACTTTGGAATAAATAAATAAAAAAAAAAGAGAGGCTAAAGTTGCTCTGGCAAGAAGTGCCTGTGCTGGTACTGGGAAGCTGCGACAACTGTGGAGCACAGGGGACTGACAATGGGATGTTTCGAGGCTGCCAGCTGACTTTGCAGCCCAGGCATCATTAGTATGTGTTGGCTGTTCTGTAGCTTACTCAATATGTGCTGGTAATATTAATCTGTGTTCCCTAGCAGCAGGTGCCTCTATCATAAGATTCTCTAGGCTGATTAGTTTGCAAATTGGCAGGAAGTCCAAGGTTTAAGTGACTTGAGAGAGCAAAATTAAATTTCGAACCTTAGCAATGTCTTCTCTGGAGTTAGAGTATTGATTCTACAGTATCACTTTTTACTTTTAATAGATAGTAAAGAAAAAATTACTTCATTCTCCAAAGAAAAGAATACAGTCAAGTACTTTTAATCAACACCACAGACAAAAGCAATTGTCATATTTTTTCCACTCTCCTATTTGCTTTAAGGTATACTGCTAATTTTAATGGAAAAAACCCTCTGAATTGTATTATTTTTGTAACATCAAATGTCTTTACTCTGCTCACCAGCTATTTTGTAAATTCCACCTATCTTCACTATCCTATCTGGCCTTTTCCAGAACTTCTCTTAAACAAAGAGCATATAGATCCTTTCAAAAGTATAAAGCAAAAATAAACTGGATAATGTTTCATATTGTGGGACACAATGTACGGACAGGTCAGATGCTTTACTGACCTCTGCTTGTGGAGTAACATATATGTGAAACTTGTGGTTCCAGCATGTATTCACTTGATTTCATGAACGGTTAATGCAAAATTTGCCACCTGGCAAACGTAATGGGTTATCTTAAGCCTGCTGGGCACTCTGTTTGTAGAACAGTATAACCAATTAATTATCCAAGATGGATCACTTAGTTTTTTCTCATCTGTTCAATTTTTCACAATTTAAATCCGTATAAACATTCAGTTCAGTTTTGAATACAGTGTGTGTACTTGGTTGCCTGTGTGTAACATAAGGATATGCTTTCCCACGAATCTGGGACAAATTCTCTCTAGGGACACTGGACTAAATAACCATTTGTTTTTAGACAACAATTGAAGAATTAAAAGACTTTACACAAGATCCACTGTGATTTTTTTAATCCCTCTAGCTCATTCTTAAACATTTTAGACCTTTCAGCCCTTTGAACTCAACATACAGATAACAGGGACAGATTGATGTCAGAGCTTTCCCAAACCATTAGAATTATGGAGCTATATTTAAACTCTCTGACAGGGAGAATCCTGTATGATAGGAAAAGACTTAAGGCATTCGGCCATCCAACCCTCTGCCAGGCTCCATTTCAGATGATCAGAATTGGCTCTGAGTAACCTGGTCTGACATTGTAGCTGCCCCTGCTGTGAGAAGGAGGTGGGGCCAGAAGACTCCCAAGGTTCCTTTGAGCCTGGATTGCTCTATGGTCAGGTATTGGGAACTACTGTTTGCATTAGACTTTAATATGGTGAGCCTTAGCAAAGCAATTTTTCTGGAGTACCAAAGACACTTTCCAAACCTCCAAGTGTGCAGCTCTCCCCATGGTGTAGTTATTCAGCTTACACGAGAAACATCTCAGATATCCCACCTTGGAACTACACACCTGCCTTGAAGGAAAAGAAATTATTTCCTCTTGTGTCCTCAGAATCTACATCTCACTTTCCTGCACCAGCTGTGACATCTCTTTCTGCTCCTTCATTTAATACAAGCTATCAGCCATCACCATTGGAGTTCCCAGAGAAGCACACTGGCACTGTAGCCATGTCATGCCGTGCACAGTCTTTTCCCATCAAGCAGGCACAAATCCTTGCTGTCCTCCCATGGTAGCAGAACTGATATCACCTCCTTGGCTGGGGAGGGTTAGAGACCATGAAGAGTTCACAAATAAAGGCCTGCAGCTCACACCATGTTTCTTCCTGCCTTGAAAGACTGCACAAACAGTCCTTTGCATGAGTGCGTCACTGAGGTGATGGTGGAGGAACAACACACCCTTCTCACGGGGCAGGTCTCGCCCTAGTCCATGGGGTGACCATCATCTATATTTTATAATATAACTATTTGTCTCCTTAGTGCCCTTTGTGGGATGCACACTGTGTAGTGGGAATGAAAATGATGAAGGGGTATATAGAGTTTGTGGAGAAATTATTAGTAACTTCATAGTTAATGGGCACACATGGATCTTTGGTAAGGTCCTGGGCATGAACAAAGGTTCAGTACCTGCTTAATTTTGTTATGAATTGCCACATCACTAAGTCCACTCACTAACAGAAAAAATAGGCATGTGTGCAAGTGTCTGTAGAGTCAGGCCTTAGACCTGTGGTGACAGTTTTCTGAGACTGATTGCATATGGAGTGCATGTTTGTGCTTGCTTTCTCTTGGAAATATCTCTCCCAGCACTTCGACCTTCCTCTCCTGGGTACTGCAGAAGTCCTGCTGTCTGATCCACACTTAGTTAAGCGGCCAGGGCAGGAGATTGGTCTGGACACATGGTCGAGATCCCAGGGTGAGGGGCACTTTATCTCAGTATTATGAAGGATTAAATCATTAATGAAGCTTCATTTAGCTTCATGGCTAAGATGTCCCTAAATTTTCATCTGTTACATATCTCCTTTGCTTTTATCTCTTGCAGATTCTGTGCTTAGACAGGAATACTCAGTTTGCATGCAGAATGTTTAAAAGTTCTTACAAAGTTTCTTTCAACAAAGCTCTAGATTCACAAAAATATGACAGTATCTAATTTCTTTGGAGGAGATGGTAGGGGTAATACTATCTTTTAAATGTTTTCTTATATTTATTCTGCTGATGAGATCATTCGACTCACAGCAATATTTTTTATTCTTCACGTGACTAATTTTGTAACACAAAACCAGAGCTACCAGAAATTTGAATGCAAAGAAGCTGTTGTTAAATATGAAAAATGGTGTACTGGGGTATGTAGATATGAGACCAAGCAATAAAAATGAACACAGTTTACAGAATTGACAAGACAGCTCAAGGATGCATGCCAAAGATGTACTTTCTGCAATAAAAAATACTGTAGTTTTCCTGAAGAAGTGCTGCAGTAATACTGTGTCAGGTTTGCCTATCAGAGTATAGATGACGCTTTCACAGCTAAGATGTGTGAACTGAGATGACAGTCTCGGTTCCTTCAGTACAGATCGCTTCCAAGATGCTGTAGATCAACACAGTGATCAAGGACAAAGTCATAGTCTGAGTCATTATGGGGAAGGGCAAAGTATATGGAAAATTCAGAGTCAAGCTTCCAAGAAAAGTCCTCCAGTTCAGGAACAGGTCTCTCCACTGGCAAGAGAAAATTTGGCCTGACACAGTGATGCTACCAGACCTCCATTAAATCAGAATGACTGTTCGTGTGAGGAAGCAGAGTTGACGGGGAACTTCAGTTTCTGATGTTCTGAACCTAGATGATGTGTTCATGTCATGCGGGCCTCCAGAACAGAGCTGAGGCTAAAATGTCAAGTCTTGCAAAACCTGTCTAATGCTCTGCCAATTCCAAATGATAGCTAACTTGGCAAAAGGCTGGGCTGATTGAGTCTGAAATGTGATCCATGCTCTGAACTTCAATTAGTTCATTCACGTTAGGTGAACAGTCAGGCTAATTTCATAGGGCATTGTTAAAAAGCTTAGGTTAAACACAGTGAAAGGTGAGGCACAGGTACACTAAACCCAGTAATCATCTGGAATGTCATATAGAAATTCTATTTTAAAAGTCAAAATTAAGTAAAAACTGTATTTATGCATATAAGTTCATATTTTGCTGCAATTAAGCCTTGCCGGTATCTGAACACATCACTTTTACATATTGCTGAATGATGTCTTCAATATATTATAACTGTATTTTTGAAAGTATGTTGCACTAGAAGGCAAACGTCTACATACTGGGAAAGAATTCATCCCAGTAGCAAATTTTACACTTAACCTCACCTTAGTTTTGACCAATTGGATAGTTATTTTGGGAGAAAATAAGAAATATTGGAATCTTCTTCAGTGAAAAGCATTAAGGGCATTTTGATAAGCTGTAGTATTTTTTTTGTTTTATTCTAAGTAGAGGAGGATTTTCAGTTGTGCTAATGTATGGCTTTTAATTGAAATGTGTTGATCAAGATGGTGTTAGTTATACAGTGTGAGCACAGTCCAAGAATACAATTTTATTAGTTCTAACTTCATACAGAGTGAGATGGTATACTACAAGTAACTTGTTTTCAGCAATTAAGATGCTTTTAATAAAAAAGGGACTTTAAAAGGACTCATTCTTTTGTCTTAAATATTTTTGCTAACCAAGTCATAGCTTTCATTATGCCATACATGTACATATCCTGTACATTCATGTAGCAGTGAATCTTTAATTTGTCACTTAATGGTTGTCTAGTCTATGGAATATATTGTTGAAGAATATCACTGAAGTTGAAATGCAGCAGGCCTGAAAAGTATTGTAATTTATTTGCATTTATGAATACCATAATTAACCAAATTAATTATAAATATTTTTAAAAAAGAAGAGTTTGGAGGAGAGATGAAAAAAGCATCAGATTTTATACTACTCTGTAAGAGCTTAGTAGGAGGTTTCTTTGGACATGAATTACCTGGGGTTAGACATAGGTGTCTAGCTTTTAGGCCCTTGATTTATGACATATTCTAAACTGTGCTTCCTATGATAAAAGCATAGGATAGAGAGCAACAGCATACAGTTTTATTTATTGAAATTTCCTCCAAAGTTCATAAGTTCAGAGTAGGGAATATGATTTTTCTGTATTTTTAAAACCCCAGGGACCCAATCATAACTTTATGTTTTACAAAAGACACTATTTTTAGAATATTTTGAGCACTGCCAAAAGTGCACCGGATTTCTTCTTTTACAAATAAAGGTTTCCTGCCTAATTCACTTGTCCTAATCTCCAGCTGCATTTTTGGTAATACATGAGCTGAAGAAAAACAAAAATATTAACTTCTTTTTTGCTTTCTTCTTTCTTGGTTGCTATCCTTTCAGTGTTATGACGCACCAGTACAACAATAATTCAAAAATATTTTTGCCTAATAAATTAATGCCTGATGTTCACTACAAATAAGTGTATTACACTGGGCCACGTATACAGATTGAGCTACTGCTGGCTGTGTTTTCCATCTGCAGAGCCTTCCCCCAGAGTGCCTGATGACATCACACAGATGATTATGACTCACTGTCATCTCACAAAGCCTCTGCCTAACACAGGTATTAGCAGCAGCAAATATTAGCAGTGGACATCAACTCAATGCAGCAGTAGAGTAAAGCAGAGAGAGAATTTTGAAGGGTCATTGAATCTGATTGTGACGTGATGAAAAATAAATACAGGGAAGGATTGATTTAATCTGTTTACATAACTGACTTTAAATTAACTTGCAATTAGGCCTTCACTAAGAATTACTCAGTGATTATACCCTTCAGCTGCCTAATACAAGTATGGGTTCTGGGCAGAGCTGTAACAGGGAGAGATGAGTTGCTGCTCCCCAAACGGGTCCTTTCAGGGCCACCCCTCCGAGATGCCACAGCAAGCCACTAGAGGGAACTCAGCTTATTCCCTAAGAGGCCTTGGCACTGGACTTTCCCTACTATTCACTTATTTGGACATTTAAGCTATATGCAATGGATAACATAACTAAAACTATATGCATATGCTTTAAAGACACCTGCCACAGTAACTCCATCTGTTAAAGCAAATATACCAGTCAGTGTTCTTCTGTGTTGCACATGCACATAGCATGTTTAATCTTTTACATTAGTAGTAATGTGGGGTTTTAAACCTTTTATCTCTTAATTCTTTTCTTTCCTCATCATCTCTTTGTCTAAATGGGGTCAGTGCTCCCTGGAAATTAAACAAAAAGATACTGAATGTGCTTCTGGTTACTAGTGTGTGTTTAAAAGTTCCTTGCATTTCTAGCAAGAACAGGACTTGGCAGTAGGAAGTTAAGGAAGGGTGGAGGCGTGCTAGAGGTCCTTGAAAAGCAAGGACTGGGGGGCTGGCTGTAACTGAGGAAAACAATATGGAGATGGGTTTCTATGTCAGCAAAGAGTTCCTTCCTTTAGTCATCAGGTATCAGCTTCCCATTCCTTCTTCAGCATCTTAAATGAAGCCCAGAGGGAAAGCACCATCCTTCACAGTCCTAAGGGCTCCACCCACATAACCATCTCAGTAATGTTAAAAGTAAGCAAAGCCCTTCCTAAGAAATTTGTTACTGAGCTGGTATTTGGATCAAGACTGCAAGACTTTATCAAGACTACTTTTACTTTCCCCGACATGTTCACAGTGTGCCCCTACAGTATTTGAAAAGTAGGGCATGTTTGTGTTAAAAATGATGCAACATTCCACAAAAGTGGAAATAATCAGTTGTAACAGCAATACAGGTTAACTCTTCGGTGTTGTCACAGGGGGAAGGAATTAAAACAGGCCATCTTGCCTGTACAGAAGTTTCTGTTTTGTCTCAAGGCTGTTTAGGTGTGAAGGTTGCCCTCTCACTGGTGCTATTTCTGATGCTGTGAAGGGAAACCCCATTTTTGTTGGAAGGCTGCCGTCTCTAAACACTCTGAAATACACTGATGTTGCCATCAGTGCTGGCACGTTTCACAAGATTACAGAGGCTGCTGACTGTGTGATCCAGGTGGGGGCTCACAAGAACTGGGGGTCCTTACCTGACTCCTTCGTTCACCCCAACACTTCTAGAGACAGAAATTTCAATGCCTATGCTGCTTGTTCATTCTTGTGTACCCAGCTATGGTCTCCAGAGCTTCAACATTTAACCCAAACAGCATCGTAGTCAGAACAATAAAGAAAAATAAATATTTTTAAAATTCACTATTGAAAAATAAAGAGTGAAAATGAAGTCTTGAAAACAGGAGTTTAGTTCTGCACAGGCATAGTTCATTGATCAGTTTCCTGTGTGGATAAAGTAACGGTGCCTGTGTCACTATTTTCTTTTTATGGACATTAACTTACATGCAGCAAGAAGTCAGTCATATGGCTGCTGTTGAATTCAGTCTTGGTGGTTATAAATTTGAAATTCTACCATTGATCAAAATGGGAGAAAACTCTGCAGGTTCCATGTTAAAGCCTTTGGAGTACTTGTTTTCATTTATGCAGAGGAAATGTAGTTTCAGCATAAGAGTTCAAAAGACATTGGAAATAATTTTGAAATTAATGAAATGCATGTAGATCAGTGTGTGATAAAAGAGCAGCTGAATAAGGTATTATGGGAGAACAATTTCCTTCAGTTATAATTTGGCATAAATGAGGACTATGGATTAAGAGGGAAGGCCAAAGAAATAGGTGGCACAGGTCAGGAGGAATATAACAAAGAGATGTGGCACTGGATGCTGCAATTTTAGGGCCCAGGGTATGGGGAGTAAGTGGGCTGACACTTTTCTCCCACTTATATCTGGCTTTTAGATGCATCCATCTCCCCTGCCTTGTGTATGTACTGGGGGGTCTCTTGAAAGGGTCTGAAGCTTTCCCCTTGGAATTCAGTTATAAGAGCTGTCTTGGAAACTAAAAGATTATCTTACCAACATATGACAGAAAATATAGATACATATTAAAGCAAACAGAACCTTATCTGAGATCTACTTTATGGGAAGGTGAGTGGGTAATTAACTAAACTGCCACATGGGTAATAAACTAAACTTTCCTTGGAAAAGGAAGTCCCTTATCATTAAACTGATGAATGAGACTGAGAAGTGAAGGAAGGAAAATGGCACAAATGGTACAGAGCATCACCCTGCAGATGTGAACAGTCCTTGCAGGCTATGAACAGCATAAACAGTATGCTTGGTGCATATTGTGGCGTGTATAATACTTCTTTTTCTTTTTGCCGTAAAATGTATGGAAGTGCTTTGGGGAAGGCACTTCCTAACTCTGCCACGGTACCTGAGGGGAATGCAGACCTTGTACGTACTACTGAACCAATCTGGTATGTGGTAATGAATTTAAAAAAGGATTATAAAACATAAGAAACTTTCAAAGGAGCAGTGTAAACTCTTACCTTAAATTGCCTATGACACAACCAGGTCAGAAATGTATAGCTAACCACTGAACTACCACTGGACACACAGGAAGGCACCTTCCTACAAGCTGGAGGCTGAGGAGGACACAAGCAGCAAGCAGGCAGTACCTGTGACTGACAGGCTCCCAAACAGCAGACCCAGCCTGGCAAATTAGACAAAATGCCTTGGTTCATGAGCCTCAAAGCTGCAGATCATACTTACATCTTCCTGGCATGTCCTTCTGCCAGCAACCAGCCACGGTCAGACTTCTCAGACTTCCTGATCTCTGAGAAAACAGTTCTTAAACTCTTAATTGTTTGGGTGTTTGACAGATAAATTCTATGGTATCTGTGTGGGCCTGAACATCAGTCATTTCTAGTCCTCCAGGACATCAAGTTAGGTATGTTACGGTTATTGAGGCTTGACAGTTCAATTCATACCTGGTTGATAGGAGAAATCTCAAGAGAATTATTGCATCTTGTAAAAATCTAGCTTTCCATTAGAAAAAAATACATACTGTCTCAGAGGAAGTGTACCCTGAACACAGTAGGTATACTGGTTTTTCAGGTGAAAAAATCCCACATGTATGAACATTTACAGCAAAGGGAGGGAAACTAAGAACTATGAAATACATCTAGGGGGAAATCCAAAAGAAAAGACACAGGTGCAATGAAGAGTAAAGAAAACAGTTGGGGAAGGGATGGCTTGAGGGGTTAAGAAGGACTGGCTGGCAGTAGAGAGAGACTGGGGCACTTGTAAACTTCACCTCCTGTCCTCCTGGAGGAAGATCCTCTCTTGAGAAAGACTGGGCCTCTTTCTTTCAATATCTAGTGAAAGCCTAAGGATAAAGCAAATGTAAACTCAAGAAACTATGAAGATACCATGCATGTCCCTGGCCCTCTCAGCCAGCTGCTGGCTGCAGCATGTTTGTACAGCAATGGAGAGCAGAAGCTGCTGACTTATCATCAGCCTCCCCACTGCTGGTCGTGGGGAGACGACAGTGGTGTGTATAGATTATATATTGTATCAAAGGGTCCAAAAAAAGGGTGGAGAAAAATGTCATCTTTCATGTGCAAATTACTGAAACTATGTGTAATAACACTGTACACAACACAAAACCTGAATGCAGCCTGATTTACCTCACCTGTCCTATCACACTACAAACATTTCAAAGCAGAACGTTGTATTAATTGCATTTTACATGCTGCACAGCAGGGCAAGGAAGACTTGCAGATCACACAGCAACCATGTGTACTAGCAAAGGCAAAACATGGCTGGAGCTCCAGGCACTATGGTTCTCTTCCTGGGTGGGGGATCTCAAGCAAGCTAGTTCACTTCTGCATGCCTGTTTTCCCATTTGTAAAACATGAAGGCTGCTAACATGCACATACATAGTTTATCTGGCTACTTCTAAAAACTCGTGGGAACCTGAGAGCAGTAAGTGCTCATACAGCAGTTTGTGACTCCTGAAGCAGCGCTAGCCATTAAGAATGCTATGCCAAGGTGCAATTTATAGTAATATACAGAGGTACTGATCAGTCAGAGGAAAAGTCAGTTGCAAGACCTGTCAACTCACATTGTCAGTTCCCAGATGGTCCCAGTCAAGAAGCAAATTGTGTTTCATCTAGTCATTAAAATCCCTTAAATTTCTTAAAGAGACTTCAGGTACTTCAGGAGATAATATTTTTTCTTGCAGTATCTTTCCTTCCAACATAAACTCATGGTGACATCTATGCTGCTTTGCTCTAGTAGTTGACCTTATTTTACAGGGTACTTTTTTCTACCCGTCTGGTCAATTGTTTTCCTTTTGCTCCTAGTATAGGGCACAAAAAATACCAGCACTTTCTTTAGTGCACGCAAACAAAGAATGTTTAAAATTTGGACAAAGTCTATCAATTTACAACTTCATTAATTCCTACAATGACCTATCGATATTCTAGATATGACAAGATGTAATTGCTGAATATTCTGATGCTAGGAATTAAACTTACAAAAGCTTCATGCTATATACACATAAAAGCAAATTACACATCTCAAGTTGTATCTTAGTTCAAGTAAGGACACACCTTATTCTTTCTTGTGCAGCTATGTCACCAGGCACTAAAGAACACAAGATTCAGGTGGTGAGAGAAAACAAAAGAAAAGCCTGATTCCGTATATTAAGCCCTTGACTGAATGTAGCTCCAGGTCTTGTTTCAGGGAATAAAAAACAAAGTAAATTTTGTATTTTCATGGCCTTTGCCGTCACCGCTTATAAGGACATTTGCAAATTAAAGTGTGCTGATGAAAGCATACTGCTTCATTAAAGAAGCAAATTACATCTTTAATAGAAACAACATCTACTCAAAACCTTGTTTCACGACCTTAAGAATGGCAAAATGGCAACGATGATTACACCACTTCTTGCAATACATATAGCCACTTACTGAACTACAACTAAAGACTCATCAACATCATATAAATACAAAAAAATCCTTGATTCCCAAATACTTCCTCTTTCAGGTATAAATTAGAGAAATCACGCCAGTTCACTGACCAGTGACAACCTACAGAGTAAGTACACGTAACCAGTGAAATTCTCAAACTGAAGAAAAGGGTTTATGAACCACTCGGATGAAGTGACTGCATCTGCCACACACTGTGTCACTGAGCTAAGGTTAAACAAAAGTACGAAAGCAGCCTTCCAACCGAGTCAGGGCTTTGTGAGATCTGAAGGCCTCCTTTCTGGGAGTTGAACAAATGAGATTTTATTACCTCATGGGAAAAAATGTTAGAGAGGAATGCTGACTTCAACACAAGGGAAGAAGTACCTCTGCTAGGACATGTTTGTTGTACAAATAAATTCCTCAGGAAAATTTTTCAAATTCAGCGGAATTCTTGACCTTCCTGTCTTAGCTCTGATAATATTATTCTATGCTCTCAAAGCAAAACAGAAAAGTTCACAGCCTTAAAATTGCTGATAACACTGCTGCTCAACTTTAGTAGTTAGGTCCCTTTATTGGATAATGTATTTCTCCTTAATTTATGTGCCCTTCATCTATCTTTTCTAGTGAAACAGCTGCTAAATATTTATTTCTATCAAAAATATTCAACACTCTGGTTCCTGTTCAACGAGCTAGTGTCAGTTTTTCAGGGTAAATGCTAATACTTTACAACCTTTACCTCTTGCTTACCTCCTAGCTTCTTTTGGGTAAGCACCAGCCTATCCACAACATAAAACCATCTTAGAAATTACAACAGAAAATATTTCCCCTTAAAAAGTACAGTCAGGCGTATATCATGAAAAAATATTTAAAGGACATGTTGTGAAATCAAAATTCAAAGAGCACAATAGACTGCAGAAGAAAATTAGGAATGTGTTCAATTGTGTGGTGGAAGTGTCAAGACCTTCTATGCAGAAATAAACTTATTTCCAAAATCACAATGAAACACATATCTATAAACTTTGGGCTTCTTATAATCTATAGGGCTTCATATTAGATCTCAAAACTGAGTAAAGAAGAAAAGAAAACCCTAATGTGTGGCAGGTATCAAATGCTTTATAATGCAAAAGCTTAAAAAATAGCCTCTGAAAAGAATTAAAAGAACTGTTTAAAATAATATGCCTTGGATAAAATATTAATCCAATAAAATTAAATTTACAGCCTCATATACAGATTGCTTAAGAATTCAGTATCATCTCTGAAGAGATGCTGGTGTAACAGAGTTCAAATACAGAGGATTTCTATCTTCTGCTGCATCAGGAGACAGAAGGATTTTAGCTTTCGTAGAGCACCAAGCCAGCTGTTATTAATGAAGGTGTCTAATGGGCTGAGACTCAGCCACCCATGAAGACGCAACAACAGATACTTCTGCGCTCCAAGAGAGCTAATTTTGCAGGACCATCATCACGTGACATTTAACTGTTTAAAAGTAAGCTGGTAGTTAACTCGCACAGTTGATCCCTCTGCAGTTCTGCGCAGCATTGCACCAAAGATTTTTATCAGAAAAGATTTTCATTACCTAACCAAAGTGCAGTATCTTTTGTTTCCTTCCTGATCTCACAAGATTTAATAACCACTTTATTTAATTCTTGTACAGCAGACACATGACTAGCTGATAACATATCCACTAATTTTGTTAATTTTCTTCCTTTGAGGCTGTTCACTTCACAAGGCATTATATTACTTTGCAAGGAAGTCCTCCAAATATGACACTGATGTTTTGCTGTCATTTCCTGGCTCTAAACTCAAACAATATGTTCATGTAATACAATGCCTTGTTTTCAGGGAACTCGACTGAGAAACCTGTCAAAGTGAAGGAAACCTTGAAAGTGAAAATCCCTGTAAGATGATACTGTAGAAAGACAAAAGCGGGCAAGTGACAAATTAAGTGCAGAATATAGTCCTAAGAGATGGCGACGTCCTGGATTTTCAAGTGATCCTGCTGCAGTGTGTATTGCACATAGGTCTAATTTCACAAACCAGTCCATTGTGCAGGAAGGGGCTCAACGCAAAGATCTCAGGAAGCCAGAAGCATGAAGTGCCCCAGACCTTCTGCTGGATGACCACAGGACCAGCGACACTGACACCAAGGTATGGTGCGTAAGCTTTGGTTTTTTCCCCACTGTTAGGAAAGACCAGATGGAACACTGTCATCTTACCCTTCATAGTGCAACAAGGTATGGGAATTTTTAAATTTTCAAGGCTTCAGAAGTCTCATCCAACAGCTTTAAAAGAGGAGCTGAGAGTTATCAGCACTTTACATTTAACAAATTCTGTAATCCTGAGGATGTATGGGTAAAACAGGGCAGAAACAAAGAAGTGTGTTACATTGGTAACTTTTACAGAGGATCAGAGCTAGCATTAAAACTATGAAGTTTCACATCAGCTGCAAGGGGCGGAAGAAAGGCTGATGGTAATGAGACAATAAGCAATGGGAAAAGGACACTCCTTTTAAATAATACCAACCCACAGGTCTGATGGAAACTCGCTCTTGTCAAGCTAGTTGGCAAGATGACTAGCCAAAACTAACTATTGCCTAAAGCTATGGGGAATCGTTAAGGCATTTTCCTTTGCACTTGAGTGACACTCAGGCCAAAAAAAAAAAAGGGAAGTACAACAGCAGATCAATACTGCATATACCATATATAGTAAACTGGGACTTACAGTCTACTTGAGTCATCCTCGGTGAGATGCCACTGGAATTCTTCTTTGGCCAAATACTGTTTATTTAAAAAAAAAAAAGAAAAAAGAAAAAAAGAAAAAAAGAAAAAAAAAAGAAAAAAGAAAAAAAAGAGGAGTGGAGGAGTGGTTTTGTTCATTTTTAGAAGATAAGCTAGGGCACAGTAAATTATAGAGTATTTAGATTAGGCAAGAAACTGGGCTGTTGAGGCCACACATTTACCTCAAGTGCATCAATACGGGTCTATTTTACAAGACAATGAACCTTCAAGTCTTTGGGGTGAAACAAATTTTGTATGAACTCTTGAGTGTAGAACATGTAAATAGCCTAGCAGCATTATAATGAAAAATTTGGCAGTTATATAATCAATTTCTATAAATAAGCCAAGAAACCCTCCCTTACTTCTTATTAGCTTTTGACCCATGTTGTTCCAGGGCTGTGTTAATGGATACTGCCTATCCTCCCCCCCACGGGTCGCTGTGCTGCTCTGTCTCTGCAGCTGCAGCGCACAAGGCACAAACACGGCTGATGTTACTTGAACATGTACCTCTGAAAACATCATCCACACTGCGGAGCCACCTCAGCTGGGACCCAAGCTGGCGTTTTCTTCCTATGTACTGTTCTCAGTACACTAGAGCAGAGATTTCTTTTCTTCCAGTAAAATGCTTTTCTCTCTTACATAAATTTCACACATTTCCTAAATTTGTTACTTTTTAAAACACTGGATTAGTAACTGCAAATCTGCGTTACCTTCTCATCACGTCAAGACTAATCTACAATCCAATTCCTTTAGAATTTTAAATGTCAGAATGTGTTTTCTGACACAGCTATCAGGAAGAGACAAATCTGTTGCAAAATATGAAGTTTAACTTGCCCCATCCATGCCTTTTTGTCACTGCTACTATTCACTATTAACTAGTTTAATATCTGCTTACTATGAAAATATTTAAGGAGCATCAAAGTATGAATTTGAATGTGTGATTGCCCAACTTTCTTGAAATCTGAATTTTCAGTAAACAAAAAGAATGTAAAATGACTTACCAAACCAAAAAGGAAATTTTTTTTTTGAAACACAAGAAATTCTGAGCTACTGAATTTCTTAATTAAGGCTGAGACAGTTAAAAGCTCAGAAACATGAAGTATTTCTATTGATGCACTAGAAGGCAATCAGATAATTAACACGCACACACACACACACACACACACACAGAGTCACAAAAGAAAACCAAGACATGCTTAAGGGGAGGCCAAATTATTTTATTTAATTTTTTAGTGACCAATTGGATTTTTGGCAGAAAGCTCTGCTCTTTCCTTTTTTGTTCCTTTTTTTTTTTTTTCTCTTTAAAGAAATCAGCAGTGCTCAAATTGATGGGTTGGAATTTTACTCAAATTCCAGTTAATTTTGAAAACAAACAGATGAACAGAATTCCAGATTGTTTCCAGAGCAGAGAGCAAAACTTCACATTTGTATGAAAATTCCATGTTTTTACTTAACTAGGAGACAGAACGTAAAACTATTGTCAGTAGTGCATGAATAAAACATTCACATTTGATCTGGAACCTTAAAATCAGAAAGCTGTACTCTCCTTCCAAAATTTTCATTACCTTGTGCAAAGCAAGTCAAGTCTTCATGTGTCAAGCACACACGTAAAATTGTCCATATTTTATATACAAGACATCTACCAATCAGGCAGTGCAAAATACATCCTTTCATAACAAAACTAAAATGTACCTCTCAAAGTATGAACAAGAATATACACATAATACATGATGTACACTATTTACACAACCATAAAAAATATAATACAAGGATTTTTTTTTTTTATGTGTTTATAAGACTTGACAGTCTTTTGCAATTTTTGTTGCAACAAGGCATGTTTTAAGTTTCCTGGATGGAGTTTTCTTGCCAATTACTCAAGAGATCTTAGAAACTATGCTTGAACTTTTAGGAGAGTTTTCAAATGGACTGCCATCAACTCCCTGTTTTGGTCAGAAGATTCAGCTGTGCCACCCACCCAGTGGCTGGGAGGCTTTGGAAGGACACTGGGAGATGGTGGGTCACTGAACTTTGCCCCAGCGTAATTTTCTTTTTGGTTCGCTTCATTTAGGGCAACAGGTTTCTTGGACTTGGCATTTCTGAAGTTCTCTGTGTTTTTAAGTGGCTTTTTCTCCTGCTTCTGAATTATTTCCGTCGACACAGAATCCTGCCAAAAGTTCTCTATCTTTTTCGCCGAGGCGATCTTCGTCAGCGGCGCATTACACTTACTCTTCTGCCTGTTAATCTTTGGTTGTTCACACAGGTGTAAACCGTGAACGGGCTGGCCGTAGGGTACGGCCGCCTTCTCTGTCTTTCCCATCTTGTTCTTTAAAAACTGCGCAGACAAAGAAGAGTCACGTCAACCACGACCCCTCTCCTTCGCGATCCCTCACCGTCTCAGACACGGAGCGAGGCGACGGGGCCGCCCCAGGCAGGGGAGAGGGTACCGAGCCGCGCCCTCCCCACTATCCCAGCGATCTTCCCACCGCTCCGCCGGCACGGGCGGGCTGAGGGCGCGGAGCCCCCCCCGGCCGCCATGGGGCGCTGCGCGCCGCGCACGTCCCGCCTCGCGCGCGGGGTGGGGGGCGGGGATGGCGCGCGGCCAGCGCCAGGGCTAAATCCGGCTTGTTGCTGGGGCGCAGCGGCGCGCGCCCATTGGTGGGCGCCGGGCAGCCAATCGCCGCCCGCGGCCCCGCTCCTGGCCCCGCCCCGCCCCGTCCGAGCGTAACGGAAACTCTGCCGCCCCCCTTCCCCCCCACCGCGCTGAGGGCGCCCCCGCCACCCCCACCCCCGGCCACCCCGAGGGAGCGGAGCGGCCTCCCGGCTCACCGGGCGCCGGGGAGGGGGTGTGGGAGGGGGGCTGAGGGGGGACGGAAAAGTGAGCAGAAGTAGCGCAGCCCTGTCTTTACCTCCTTCCTGAGGGGGTTGCCGGGCGCGGGTCTCGAGGGGGCGGGCGCGGGGGGCTCCTCCGGAGGGGGGTCCGTCACCAGGTCGGTTCCCAGCGGCGTCCTTCTCCCCAGCCCAGCGCGGTGCTGCTGGTACTGCTGGTAGCGGCTGGGCAGGAGCCCCGCGGGGCCCGGTCGGATCTTTCCCTTCCTCCGCCGCACTCTCTTCAGCGCGGGGCGGGCGCTGCCCCCCGGGCCCGCAAGGCAGCAGCTGGGCTGGTTCTCGCAGTTGCTGTCCCCGCGCCTGAGGCGCTGGAGCAGGGCGGAGGGCGGCAACCGCCGCGGGTCTTCGGTGCCTGCCGAGATCCGAGCCAGGAAGGGCGGCGGCGCCGTGGTGGTGACCATGGTTGGACGTGGGTACCCAGAGTTGTGCCGGGGAGAGGGTCGAGCCCAGGCGGGGACGAGCAGGTCGGGTCGCTGGGGAGTGTCTGCCCGGGCTTTGTGAAGGGCTGAGGAGGTGGTGGCGCAAGCGAAGCCGCCGCTAGGATAACATGGCGGGGGAGTGAGGAGAGCCGCCAGCAGCGCCCCAGTGTTGTTACCCGGGCGGGGTCCGCCCCCTTCCGCCTCCGCGCCAACCGCCGAGCGCCGACGGCGCGAGCACCGCCCTTCTCCACCGCTCGCCGCCAATTGCGGCGGAGCAGCGCCCTCTCCGCCCCCGCCCAGGCCAATCGGAAGAGACACAAACACTCGGGGCCACGCCCGCTCCCGCGGGCCGGCCAATCACGGGCGGGCATGGCCGGCAGGCCCGCCCCGGTATCCGAGTCACGGGCTCGCCGTGCGTGGCGGGCGGGCGGTGCCCCGCCGGCCAATCGGGCTCGCGCAAGCAGCCTCGGCCGCGCCCCCGCGCGCCCCGCAGCCAATCGCGAGGGACGTAAACAGGCGGCGGCGCGCCCCCGGTGGGCGGGGGCGGCGGGCGGGCACGCGTTGCCCGCCATGGCGGAGCCGGGCCCGGCCGCCGGGCTGCCGGAGGGGCGGGGGCGAGACGAGCGGAGCTTGGAGGCGCTCAGCCTGGCCGCCGGCGGCGAGGCGGCGGCGGCGGGGCGGCAGCTGCCGGAGGGGCGGCGGGCGACTCTGGCGAGCGCCCTGGAGCTGGAGGGCACGGTGCTGCGCGAGGGGCGCCTCACCCAGTTCGTAGCCAACAACCTGGAGCGGCGGATCCGGCTGAGCGGCGCCCCGCGGGGCGAGCCCCCGGCGGGGGGCGGCGGGTCGTCCATCCCCGCCATCGACCCCGGGGCGCTGCAGGACGTGGTGGCCCTGGCTGGGCAGGTGGCGGCGCAGGTGGACGATCTGCTGCGGAACGTGCACTGCGGGCTGCAGGCGCTGACGGCGCTCAGCGTCGGCTGCATCCAGACCTACCGCGACGGCGTGGAGAGCCTGGGCGAGGCGGCCGACCTCAGCATCCGCGCCATGTACGCGCTGGTGGCGCGCTGCGAGGAGCTGGACCGCGCCATGCAGCCCGTGCCCGCCCTGGCCAAGCGCATCCGCGACATGAAGGGCACCCTGGAGCGGCTGGAGGGGCTCTGCAAGTAGCTGCTCCCGCCGCCGGCGGGACGCTGCGCGGAGCCGCTGGGGCTGCACGGACCTGGGCGCTGCCCCCGCCGTGCCGGCAGCGCTGGGGGGCCCGGCCCGGCGGGGGCTCGCCCTGCCCGGGGCCCCGGGGCTGCTGCTCGCCCTGCCCGCGGCCCCTCCTCGCACGGCCCTCAGCCCCCCCCGCACATCCCGCTCGCTGCCCCTGTGCGTGACCCGCCGCGGCAGCGGCCGCATCGCTGCTGTCAGTCTGGAGGAAGCGAAATTCTTCGACCGATAAAGGAAAAGGTCCTAGTTGAAATCGCGGGGTAAATGGTAGATGGTGCTTTTAAGCTTCAGCTCCATTAAAGAATTTGGATTCCACATGCCTTACGCTTTCTATTTATTGAGGGCTAGGAAAACACGGATCGATCTTAATTAAAAGTAGCTGTAAAAATCCTTTTTTTTTTTTTAGCCAGACTCGAAATTGCTGTGAATACTTGCTTGACGCTTACAGGCAAACGTGCTTATTTGTAGTTGACTTTCTGCCTGAC